AGAGAGAGAGAGAGAGAGAGAGAGAGAGAGAGAGAGAGAGAGAGAGAGATCATCTCAAAGAAATAGCGCACACAGTTGCAGCGGCTGGCAAGTTCCAAGTCTATGTGTCAGGTGGCACGCTGGAGGTTTCTCTGAACTCGGGTAGCAATAGAGATTGATGAACCCAAGATGGAAAGGCCAGAAAGACAGACTGCTTGCTGAAGGAGGGAAATGAATTCAAGGATGTACGGTTGCTGATTCAGAGGCGAATGACTCCCAGGACCAGCAGTCATTAAGGCAGGTGGCTGCTTCCAGTCTGAAGGCCTGGAGACCCATTGATGGGCCATGTATGGAATTCATCTATCTATCATCTATGAGCAAACTGCATCCCTGAGGAATCTCCCTTTCAGTTTGAGCAGGTGCTCATCGCAGATCTCATCACGGGAAATGACTTCATCAGAAACACCAAACCACTGACAAATCATGGCTCAGCTCAGTTGACACACAAACTTAACAATCACAGGTGGGGGAGGGAGTGGACAAAACTGGAGCTGGAGAGATGGGAAGGGCAAGCAGAGGGCAAGAAATGAGAAGAGAGAAGTGGCAGGGGGGGAGAGTGAATGGAGTAGATGATTTGAAGTATATGAAGTTTTGCAATCAGGTGGGGTGGGGAGCCATTTAGGGTCCATGTCCCCGGGGAAAGGGGCCTTAAAAGCTGGTGAGTTTGTTCCAGTGTGAGCTACTGGAGGGCAAGTGGGCACCACGAGGTGTCAAGTAGGTGGGGGCTCTGGGGGAAGCACACAAATGTGTGGGTGCGTGTGTGGGATTGGGTCCTGTGTGTGACCAGCTAGGCTAACCTGCTCAGTTGTAGAAATAGTATACACTTTGAAGTTAGCAGACTTGGGTTCAAACCCAGTGTTTGGAATTTAGGATGCACATTTAGGATCCTGTTTTCTCATCTATATATAGGGCTTGGTCTAGGTAGGTGTCCAGCCGCCACTGCATTCTTTCATTTCAGCTATCTGCTGACTCTGTCCTTAAAAAGAGAAAATACAGCCATTTAAAGTGTAAGCAATGTTGCCACCCATTCTCATCAGTGTGTATATGTCCACGGTGAGAGGGGGTGTGTACCAGCTCCCCCTGATTCATTCTGGGCCCCATGCAGTCCTCCCTAACTCTAGACTCAATGGCAAGGAGTTGGAGGCACACACCCCAGAATATTCACAACCTCCGGAAGGGCACAGCCCGCCACTCCTTACCCTACACTCCAGATTCTACAAACAGGAAACTGGGGGCTGGAGAGGCTGGGCCCTCCCTCGGGTCACCCAGAGACAGAGTAGCAGCCCAAGCCACCTGACCCACCATTCACGAGGCTGTAGAGAACGTTGTTGGGTTTGCCCCGATCTCCATCCGTGGCCACCACTGTCAGCACCTCCGAGCCCTGGGGAGGGAGAGCACCTACTGAGGCTGGTGGGTGAAGCTGGGCAGGGTGATGCTGGAGCTGGCCCCGTTGCTGGACAGAGTGTGGCAACGGGAGTGTGCGCTGCCCACTCAGCTGGAAGCGCCAGGCTGGAGGGACCTTCTGCCGTGGCTGGTGCCACTGCCTTGCCCACATTGGTTGGGCTCATGGGCTGCGCAGCGAGGGCTTCAGCCTCTGTCCCCACACACCACACTCACTCTTGCTTCTCCTACGTGCCACTCTCTTGACGCCCCTACCTCATCGGTGGCCTCCCTTCTACTCTAGCAGTCTATGGAAAGGGTGGTGAGGCAGGGCACCGTGGGGCCAAATCACAGAGGCCCTCAAATGTAAAGTGCAGGAATTATTAGGGTGTTATCCTGTGGGGCCTGGGGAGCTGTTTAAAGGGTTTGGGGCAGGTGCCACAGTGCAGGGCTACTTCTGGCCACTGTCTGAGCGCTCCTTTCTTCCAAGAAACCAGGCCTTCCTCCCCGCCCCCCATGATGCTCTTCCCCATTTTAGCCTTGTCAGCCTGCCGGTGACCCCTCCCCTGATAAACCAGCATTTCTTCCCTGGTCTGTCCCCACACTGGCTGACCAGCTTCTGGAAAGGGTGTCCCTCTAGGAATGCTGGCACCCTGGAGGGGCCTCAGTCATTGCCTTGCCCTGTTCTACAAAGCCTGTAGTGGGAAAGGGTAAGGGAAAGTTGGGGGTGAGGGTCAAGCCCACTGAGAGGGCTGTCGTGCAAGCTCATGGCCTGAAGGCTGAGTGACTCCTGTCTCTCCCTGCCCTTGGCAATGTTCAGTGTAGTTGGGGAAGGGCACAGGATTTCCCCCCAAGACATACTCAGGAGCAGGGTCTGCAGAGGGTGCCTGGGAGCAGAGAGGAGAGACATATCTCAAAGAATGAGGACCCTGAGCTGGATGCACCAGGGCCAGGCCACCAGCCCACCTTCCAGGCAAAGGCCGCCTTCCCAGGCTGCAGAACGGCTCACCTGAGCGGCCTCGCAGGCTGGGGACTGGGAGACACCCAGGAACCTCAGCCTCATGTGGCCACAGCTTTCCCTGAACTTGAGGTGCCAGAAGGCTGCCCACCTAACCGGAGCCTCTCTGCATTCTATCAGCCCGCCTTCCCTCTGTCAGCAACACCTTTGGGGTCCACACTGGCTGCCTGGGCTGTGGCACATCTGAACCACAGTGACAGGCTAGCCCCATCCTGACACTGGCACCTGCTTCAGACACCAGTGTGTGTCTTCTAGAATCAGAAGTGGAGCCTAGCCAGCGGGAGCAAGCAGGGCTCCCAGGACCCCGGGACACATGAAGGCAGGGCAGGAGGCACCTGTGAAGGCACTGGATGGAGCGGCGCAGCCACCTACCGGAAGAGTGTCCTCGTACACGTAGCCGTAGTAGGGTGTGCCCACGAAGACAGGGGCTGTGTCTTGGACGTCCTCCACTTGGACTGTGATGGTGGTGGTGGTTGAGAACACGACTTCGGCCCCTCGGAGCCTTCCCCCACCATCCTGGGAAAGTCAGAGCAACAGGGAGGCCTAAGACGGGCTGAACTCTGGAGCCTGGCATGGGGGCTAGAATGTGGCACCAGCTGTTTATTAGCTGTGACCCCGCTATACTTTGAGTGGTGAGCGAGAAGGTCATCATTTAAATTTGAGGAGGCAATACTGTCAGTTATTTGTTATCTCCTGCTTGGTCCATTTCCAGGCATTCAGTGAGAAATCAGAATGGTCATTGCTATCGGAACCCTGTGGGGAGGGAAATTGGTCCCCTGAAGCTTTCTTGCTCATTCGGTATGATTGATAAGGAGTTGCCAGCTGGAGGTTCACTGTAATTATATCCCACTTATACGTAAATAGCAATTAGTATTGTTAGAAGGAGTCACCATAAATATCACGTGGGAAATGAACATAATCTGAGCACCCACCCACGGGCCACGTTGCTGGAAGGATGTTCCAGTACCGGCTTCCTAACAAAACCCAGTTTTTCCCTCCCCTGTTCGACACGGAGCGGTTACTAATGGATCCATCACTGCAGGGCACGCGCCCAAACTTTGTGGGTTGTAGTCCTAGCCCTGATTCCCCTGATCCCGCCACATCTGATGGTCTACAAACTGTGCCCCTCCAATCTAGACCCATCCAAGGGCAACTTCCAGGGACAAGGACACAGGCAAGACTAGTTTCTTCCCCATCCGCCCTTCTGTTACCTTGGCCACCACGGTGACAAAGTGGGCGCGGGCCTTCTCGTAATCCAGAGTGGTCCCCACCCGCAGGCGCAGCACGCCGCTGTGGCGGTCCATGGCAAACGGGGTGGCATGCGAGTTCTGCAAGGGCGACGGCAGGCTGAGGCTGCTTCCCCAAAAGGGGTCCTTCCGGGCCTGAGAGTCCTCAGCCTTTCTGACTCCTCGGCTCTCCTTCCATAAGGTTCTGGGATTTCCCTGTGACTCCTCCACCCAGTGGGAAAGAGGCGGGCCCTCGGGGAGACGGTGGACACCCTGGCTGCGGCGTACGAATAACCCGCAAGGCTGCCGCAGGACCAAGCAGTGTTTCCTCTGTGGTCCATAAGATCCCTATGGGTCGGAACGAACTCGATGGCATCTAACCACCACCACCTCCACCCCCAATCCGGAACGGCTCCTTCCAGCAGGGCTTCAGCTTTCCCCTCATCTCAGCTTTGGGCTGAGCCTCCATCCGGAAACTCCAGGTGATGAAACTATCTGCGTGTCAGCACAGGGTTCTCACCTGGGCTGGCAGAGGGCTGAGCGCCAGAGTGACTGAGAAACTTCTTAGCCTTCAAACCGCATTTAGAAGCGGCTTTGAGTTATTCTAGGCAGCATCCATGGGGAGGGTCAAGAGGTCTGAGGAAGGCAGGTGAGGAGCCCCCATGGGAGGTTGGGTGTGGGGTGTGGGAGCCCCCATGGGAGGTTGAGTGGGAGGTGGGGGCTCAGGGAGGCCCCTCCAGCTAGGGAAGTCACTGTAGGTCAAGGGCTTTGTGCCTATGTAATGCTCACAGCCACCCAAACAGCAGGAGCTTTTGTGGTTTCCCTTCTGCAGAGGAGGAAATCGCCCCAGGAAATGACACAAAATGAGAGTGGTCCCAGGAGCAATCCTTGGCAGGATTTCTCCAATGGCTGTGTTTTCAGCGACCTAAGCACTACTGCTTTGCAATCTGTGCGTGCAGGATGTTAGATGCTAAGAAAAGGGTGAGGCTACGGGAATTCTGCCGCTGCTTCCTGGGAGACAGGATGGGCCAAAGGTGCGGAGACGAGGCTCCGCCTTATGAGGGTGGGGTGGTTTGGAACTCTGGCTCTTTCCAAGAATTCCCCTTCTTTCTCTACTTCTTGAGCATTTTAGGCCCAGGCAGGTTTTGTGCACTCACATGGGTGTAAAGGACCTTGTAGCATCGGGGATGCTGGAGAGAGGAGAGGAGGAGAGCAACTCCAAGACATCCCACATGAGCCGGTCCAGGACAGAAAGCGTTTGCCTCAGGCCCTTGTCACACCCCTACCTGTCTGCCTTACCCCTGTGCTTCGGAGGACCTTTAAGGGGTCCCATCAGTCCTCTCTGAAAACCTGGAACCAACGGCATAACGGTGTTCTGAAGGCCTTGGGAAAGCAGGAGGGGGCTGCCTTGAATCTTCTCTTGCCTGCAGCCTCTGGGGGTATCCTGTGTGACCCATCTTACCTGCAGGAAGTAGGTGACGCTTCCTCCAGAGCCCGTGTCCCTGTCCACCGCATGGACCTTCAAGATGCTGCTCCCGGCAGGCGTGTCCTGAGGAGTCCCGGAGATAGGGAGGATCAGCCAGAGGCAATAAGAGGGAGCTCAGGGCATGCTGGGAGTGCTAAGGGGTCATGGAAGGATGGGCATTGTGGGATGAAGGGAGAATTAGAAGGGAAAGGTAGGAAAGGTAGTGCTATAGTCTACGAGGTTCTTCTTTAAAAAACAAACAAAAACAAAACAGTTTTTATAGGCATTTAATTCAGTGGCTTAAATATATTAAAGAGGTTTGCACATTCATCACCACAATCAATTTTAGGATATTTTCTTTATTCTTATACCCATTATTATTAGTTCCCCATCTACCCCAACCTCCCCTCCCATAACCCTAGGAAATTATTCATCTAATTGCTGTCTTTCTATATTTACCTATCTTGAGTTTCATATCAAGAAAAGCATTAAACAAAGACAAAAACCCAACAATAGAATAAAACACATTAAAAGTTCAATCCAAAATTTATCAGAAAGTGATAAAGCCTAGAACAATTTAAAAATGGTTCAAAAGGGAAAACAAATGGCAAAATGTTAAATTTTAACCTAACTATATCTACAATAATCCATTTTTTCAATGCACTGTGTCTGGGCATAAGACTGTTCACATCTTTGGCCAACGGACTGAGGGAATTCAGCTGACAGTCCATGTGGGGGCTCTATAAATGGATTTGGGGTTTTCACTGTCATCGATAGCCTTCTGCAAAATGGGTGACAGAATTTAAACTCTAATACAATTCTCTTCTCTGATTTTGGATTTTATTTTTAATAATCCTTTGACTCCACTGACCGGTGTGCTTTATCCAATGTGGATTTCACTAACACCTCACTCCGACGGCTGCTGGTGTTAAGAAAAGACTTTGAGACCCTGGAAGCTATTCTTTCTGATAGCCAGCACCATCTGATGTTTTCCCCGCACTTTGCTATAGCACCTGTATCTTCAGAAGTCACTTCATGAGGACAAGTATCTAGCAGGGCCTCATCCTAAGATCGAATTGCTCCTAGATTAGAGCTTATAAGGGGCCACACAAAGGAGATTGGGGGAAGAGGGAATTAAAAAGGAGGAACAAAATGGATGGACAATGACTGGAGGGCTTGTCTCAACTAGAAAGGAGAAGAAAAACACAAGACTGCAAATCGAAAAGGGGTTTTAAACAGGAAAGACAATTCTCAAGCGAGAAAATGGCCAAGAAACATGGCAATCATCACATCATCAGGAATCGTGTCCACACAAGTTAGAGTGGGCCAGAAATAGCTTTGGTCCATGGGATTCGTAACTATTTAGAGACTGGAGAATCCTCAGTGTGGGTTGGGCTGTAAGACAAGAGCTGCTGTGCAAAGTGGTTTGTTTGGCAACACCTTATCGGCGTTCGTGTTTTCGACCCGTGAATTTCTAATCCCGTAGGGGTTGTGATAAGAGCTGTAAGAGCCCCCAATAAAATGAGTTTTTAAACATTTTCTAATCCTGGGCTATGTCTTAAAGAAGTAATGCTAATTTAAGGGGGAAAGGGATGCTTAGAATTTAAGAGTTGCTCATAGTAGCAAAGATAATGTACAACAAAATAAAAACACCAGACTGGTAGCCATTGAGTGGAGTCCAATTTCTAGCGACCAGAGTAGAATTGCTCTAGTTTCCACAGTGAAAATCATCCCCAATCGTCACCTTCTTGGTTTGCAGCCCACCACATAAGCAGTGTATCCCCAGGGCAAAAGAGGTCTACCAATCCAAACACTGACACAAACAGGAATAACTCAGCCAATGACGGGATGCTTCTTTGATTGAAACCATTACAATGAAAGCTACTTCAACTTTACGCTTCTGACAAAAAGATACTTATTGTATATGAACTGATCTATAGGACTGGGGAAAAGCCATACATTTAATATAGTCACATCTGTGTAAAACATATAGAAAAGAAAATCCTATCCCTGCCAAAAAGGACCATAAGGAGATATGCCAAAATTTAAGACTTTTGTCTTAAGTTGGAGAAATTGAGAAGGGGGGGTTAAAAAAACACTTTCTCTATCTTGCCCCTCAGTTTCTGATAATATACATGTATTACTACTATAATGGAGAATAGCAAGCAAACTTTCCCTTGAAACAGCCATGATGATGTGGGGTGGGGTGGGGGGGTGACAAGTGGGAAGTAGGGGACAGGAGGTGACCTGGAGGGGACAGTCTCTCCGAGAGGGGAGCTGGGGGGAATTCATGGGCTCCACTCACCTCGGGAACCAGGATGACATATGGCTCATTGATGAACTTGGGCGCCTCATCATTGGCATCAGTCACCAAGATCACAACTTTTTCTGCCACCTGAGAAGGGGCCAAGGGAACATGGTTTGAAGCAGTGAAACCCTCAGGGGCCACTAATGCTCCCAGATACCTGTCTCTACCCATACCTCCTGCCTGCCCTTCTTCTACTCCTTACACACCAAACACTGTGTTCTCTCAGACTATAATGGAGTGGATTTTGTGGTGGTCATCGTGGATGAGAGAAAGGGGCCAAGACACACAGACAGAAGGATAGTAGCAATGTCATTGAAGTGATCGGGCATCAATAGCCCTATGTCAAGCTCTGTGGGCAGAGTCTTCAGGGCTCAGCCCCTGGACCAACATGGATGCTATGATCAAGACCAGGCGTCCTCAAACTACAGCCTGCGGGCCACATGCGGCCCGCTGAGGACATTTATCCGGCCCTCCGGGTGTTTTTGCCCCATTTGTTTTTTTACTTCAAAATAAGATATGTGCAGTGTGAATAGGAATTTGTTCGTAACGGGTCTGAGGGACAGTGAACTTGCCCGCTGTTTAAAAAGTTTGAGGACCCCTGATCTAGACAAATCCATGCCTGGAAATCTGAGTGTCCAGTTGGGGAGGCTGTGTTCAGAGGCTGGGAAGGGGTATTCACCCCAGCCAAGAGCGATCAAGGATCAAGGGCAGGACCAGAGAATCAACCTGCTGGGAGTTCCCGGAGGCAAGGGACCAACATGGAGAGGGGTTCTAGGAAGATAGAGTGAAGGACTGTGCAGACAGAGAGGAGTGTGAAATATGGTGAGCTCAGGCATGCAAATAAATCAGCGTAAAGTCGAATGGCAGGGTGGTGTGAGAGGAAAAGGGAGTGTGTGGAAGACAGGTGTCACATGGGAAACCAGATTGGAGCGTGGGTTTCACTCTGAGGTTCAGCACTTACGGAGCCGGAGAGCGGCTACATAGATGCCTGCCCCACCTTGTTGGCTCTGGCAGCCAGTGGAGGTAGGTTGAGGCGGAGCAGATAGGAGGCAGTGGGGGCTTGGGGGGATGTTGCATCTATCCAGGAAAGTCCTGAGGAGGGGAGGGGGGTGAGTGGTGGTTGGGGAGAGAAGGGAAAGAAGGAGAGAGCTGGGTACTCAAGGGTTTAGCTCGAATGAATGACGGTCCAGAGCCAGATTAGAAGTAGGTGGGAGAGCAGGTTTGGGAAGATCTAAAGAAGGCGGGTCAGACTCATCAGGAGCCAGGCAGACAGATACTGGTCTCCCCCTTCCCTTTCTCCTTTCCTTCCTCCCTTTTCATTCTGGCTTCTCTGTAGCCCCTGCATGTGAGCTCCTTGGGGTAAGCTTTGTTAGGTCGTGGCCGTTCTTTGCCAGGGAGCCCCTCCCCCTCGCCCTGCTCTGCCCAAGACGCTGGTCAAGTCTGTACTCACCTGATTCACACCATCAGAGATGCTGATAATGGCTTCGATCTCATCCTCCCTCTGGAAGCACAAGGACAAGTGAGTGTCCAGAGTCCTGACATCCCATAGAGAGCCCAAGGTGTGGACAGCGTTGTCTCTGCTCCACTGGGCCTGCCTGTCCCAGAAGGCCCAGAGCTGGGCGATAACAGTATGCCAGCCCCCCCCCCCAAAGCTGCCACCTCCCTCCTCTCTGTGGGGCTCCCGTAATCCCAGAGGGCTTTCTGAAGTCCGATAGAAAATGCTGGAGTGATAAAAGAGCTAACCCTGGGGTACCAAGGATCCAGGAGGATGATTCCCTCTTCCCTTCAGTTTTTCTCTCTAGTTCCTCCATACCCCCCAGTTCTGCAAAGGCCCAACACTGCAGTTGAGACCACAGGACATGGCGATCTGAGTGGGGGATATGGAGGGTTCACCTGGACCCCATGGGTGCCAGGAGGGAGGTGTTAACAGTTGAGTGGGGGATATGGAGGGTTCACCTGGACCCCATAGGTGCCAGGTGGGAGGTGTTAACAGTTGAGTGGGGGTATGGAGGGTTCACCTGGACCCCATAGGTGCCAGGAGGGAGGTGTTAACAGTTAGCACAGTGACAGCCTCTTCTGCTGGGACCCTCCTCTCAATCTACCAGGGCCTGCCCTTGTCTCTGCCCACCCTGGCCTGGGGTGGTGGCCCCCTTCAGCATGCCAGAGTTGCTCCAGGTCTACAGTGGTGTTCCAGTGTGTGACCAGCTAGATCCAAGGGCTTCCTATGGGACCACAAAAAGGACCCAGAGCCCAGGTCTCTGATCTCCGTCTCTGGTCTCTGTCACCCATAGGCTGAGATGGGCTTGGGGTGCGGGGCTTTGGCCACACTCAGACCTGCCCTGCGATCCCCTCCTTGTAGCCCTGGTGCTGTGGGTTACAGGACAGGTCCAAAAATAAACCACGGTGTTATTTCCAGAGGCGATCTGCAAACACATTCGCACTGAACATGCTTTAAAAATTAGTGTGACAGGTTAGGCACTGGGCTACTGACGGCAAGATAGGTGGTTCAAAGGCACCAGCCGTTCCCCGGAAGAGAGATAAAGGTGTCTCTTCCCGAAAAGATCTATAATGTCTCAGAAACCCTCCCTTAGGTAGGCATTTACTGACGGCAGTGGGGTTGAGGAGGATGCACTTTAGCTGGACTGGCAGCTGCTCCTTACAGGAGTCCCACTGCTCATTTGGAAAGCTAAGCCTCCTCTGATCTCTGAGGAAGCGGCTTAGAGACCCCGGGTGATGGAGGGATCTGCCTCTGCTGCACAAAATGCCTCCTGCTGTAGCCCTGGACCAGACCGTCCACTTACAGGGAAGCTTCTATGTGCAAGGCAGAGGCAGGCTCTCCCTGCCCCGCCCCTCCCTGCCCCGCCCCATACCTCCCGGTCCAGCTCTTCCACCAAGGTGATGTTTCCACACTTGGAGTCAACGGAAAAGACACTTCTTGTGCTGGGGTCAAAGCTGATGTGGTAAGACACGGGCTGTCCCTCGGGGTCGGTCCCGTTCAATGTGTACACGTGAGAACCTGGAGGGCACAGAATGGAGAGACCTTGAACCTGGACCCCACATACCTACGAGTTCCGGTGCCTGGGCCAAGGATTTGAGTGTCTACACAGAGACGACCGAGTTTCCTGCCCACCGGGCAGTGGGAGCCCTGGTTGTAGGACTGTGCACTCCCCTCCTTCGCCTGTCAGTGATGCCCACGCAGACCCTCCCCAGATTGTAATCCAGAATGCAAGAGGTTCCAGTCTGAGGGCCTAATTCCTGTGCCTTTTTTTCTCTTTGGCCTGATGGACTCCTGCCCCAAGAGCCAAGGTTGAGGGCTCCCAGGGCCCTCAGGGCAGGTGAAGGAATTAGCAGCAGAATGGTGCCACCATGGCCCCTCTTGGGGGCAAATTTCTGAACCAGGCACCTCTTTCCTCCTCAAATCCTCTCTCCCCACCCCCACCCCCCACCCCCGGCTTGTAATCTCAACTAGAAGGAGCAAGGAGCTGCAAATCTCTCACCTTCCTACCTCTCTGCAAATCCCAGTGGGATCCACACTATTCCTGGGCCAGTTTAGAGCCCAAGACGTAAGGCGGCTCAGGAAGATGTATGCCTTTGCTCCGGCTCACGCAGAGGGTT